AATAATAGTGATAGGAAAAGTGAGCAAAGGTTGGTCATATTGGGCAGCGACTCACACACTTTTGAGGATAGCACACACATCTAAAGTTGAAGGGGCTACACTATGTTATTGGTTTTCAGAAATTAGTAAAACATTTCAGCTGTGAGGATTATGAGTAATCACAACAAAAGTTTGCTTCTGTACCAGTGAAGTTTGGTTTTAAAATTACCCTTCCCTTCCAACTTTGAAATTTATCCAGTAAAGAACTGTGGTAAATTTTGTGGACTTGTGTTGGTCACATTCTTTTTGTCCTTTTCCCCTTCTCCCCCTTCCAACTAGAAGTAGACTTCTTGCAAATTCAGTTTCCATCCTGTCATGCTTTTGTGCTCTGCTGACTTTGCATGTCTTTGAGAAGCTGTCCTGGTTCCAGCGGGAACAAGGTTGATTCCCCACAGGCTCCAGCAGGGATACAGGTATCCCATCCCGTGGGCGCCGTGAGCTGCCAGGGGAGGGGGCAGGAGGTCACAACTTGGTATCATAATCATGTTTATACATTCCTTTATACGTGTTACTGTTGTTTTCTTGTTCCTTTTGCTGTTCTGTTAAACTGCCTTTGTCCCAACCCGCGAGTTTCGCCTTTTTTGCCTTTTTCTTTCGATTCTCCCCTCGCAGCTGGCGGTGGGGCAGGGGGGGAGGGAGAGGGAGGGACCACGACAGAAGTTCTGCTTCAGAAATTGTTTCTTCTATTCCCAGTCATGGAAGTGCTCCTACTGTGGAGCTGGTATAGTGCACATGTCATTTTATTTTTATCTTCGTTGAAATGCAGCCAGGACTAGGCATGAATCCGCTAAAATGTTTTGGAAATGTAAATGTCTTTCTGTAGCTGGTTTAATGCTCCATTCTAATTGAGAACTGGAGGTGTCCATCTTGCTGTGAGGAGCTTTTTAAACATCCAGTTCATTATTGCTGATGCTGTGAATTTCATTTGTGCAACATCTCTTTCAACAAATGAACTGATAAACCACATCCTGCTTAACAGTAGGATGGAGATGTCTTTTTTACATCATGTTGAATGTTCTTCGGAGCTGATTAACTGTTGAAGAGCACATGCTGGGTAGTCTAGAAAAGGATCTTATGCTTTTCTCTAACCATTCAAGTGTTGCCAGTGTGAAGGAAATCCCATAGCCAGAGGTCGCTGTTCATGAAGGAGATAGAGGACTCCTGGAAAGACTTTATTCGGGTAAAGGGAGAGTCCACTGGGGCATATCCCTGTGGGGTGTCTCCAATGGCCAGAGGACACAGTCTCCATTTTATCCTAGTTCCCCAGCTGTATGTAACCTTCTTCCTTTCCGCATTGGCTGAAGTATTTGGAAGGTACATACTTCCTCATACGCCTACTACATAAATGTTTAACTTTTGTGCTTTTTCAGTTGTCTAATTTTTGCAGCTTCAGTTAATTCCCCTATTTTCTGTTATCTCACTCCTGCAATTTCAGTTAACTTCCCTGTTTGTGAAGACACTCCTATCCTTATCACCTGTTTGTGGAGACAGTCTTATCCCTATCTCATCCCAGGTATGTTCTGTCTACCAAAAAAACCCAAGCCCCCAAAACGCCAAACATTGCACCATGAGCTCAGTGTTTCGATGTCAGTTTGACAGCACATGCTGTCTGATTCTTTAAGTGTGAAGCAATTCTACCAAATTAAATAGGCTTAAGCTGTAAACTTCATGAACTAATGCCCTTTCTGCAATCCAGTAAAATTGTTTCACTGGTGGTATATGGCTGTTAATTTGGGGGAAATGATGTTCTACAATAGAACAAAATGGATGCATTTGTCATAGAATAATGGTTGCTTGTCACTCACCTTCCTGTGGTGGCTGTGTCGTTCTGCAATCATGTGGGAATAGTATCCCACAAATGTGAATTCATTTTCCTTTCAGTGTGTCTTTGAGGTAGGAACTTCTGCTTATAATAAAGCACTGGCATTTTCAGTGAGCAGCTTTCGGACATTATTTGGATTACACAGAGAAAAGGGAGATGCAATTATAATAATACATGCTTTAAATGAGACAGAGGTAAGCAATAAAGATAAAACATGTTTCAAAAGACAGTGTCTGGTTTAGAGAGAGTAAACTCTCCTAAAGGAAAAAAATCCCCAAAGAAGTGAAAGGGAGAGTAACTACTCTGAAACATGTCTCTGAATTAATGAAAGTGCTAAGTAGTGAAATATAGTGACACATTTTTGATGAAAGCATTCTGTTTCTGAAGAAGTGTGTTGTAAGCTGTTGCTCATTATGGCATGCTTCATTGCTACCTGTGTGGCTTTCCTTTAGGGAAGAGATGTTAACAGACTTAGTGATTTATTTTGCATGCCTGGAACTGTTTTGTAAGAGTGGTAAAATGTTATAATTCTAATGCAAGTCAGCAGTAGGAGTACAAAGCCAGGAAGATTATCTCTGTAACCAAGGTTTTCTTGGCTTATATATACCTTGCACTAGCTGCAAAATAAACAAAATAATTCTTGTATTGAAGATTTCCTACAAGTAGGACATCATGAGTTCCCACAAAGGGTTAAATACCCTGTCCTTCTTGGATACTGTTGTAAGGTCTAAAGTAAATCTGAAGTTTCTTATATGGTGGATCTGAAATACTGCTATGAATTTTCACTTCTGTTGAGCTTTACAGTGTGCGTTGGTTGTTTCACACATCTTGTTCCACATCTGTGGTTCATCTCTGGTGAACCTAAGCCAGTGGTATTTTATTTCCAAATTTTCTCCCAGTACCTCATGAAATTTGTATTGAGCAACCTTGGAATCACTTCATGGAAGCTGGGCCTTGAAAATGCCATGGGGAGTGTTAGGGGCCATCCCCATACAGAGGAAATGTGCTGCAGTCAGATGCTCTCTCAGCTGCCGTGTGCTTTCTTATGTCTTCCAGAGATCCTTGGTGAGCTCTCAGAATAAGCACCCACGCCACATTGAGCAGTTATTGACAGTTGCTGTGCTTACTTTTGAAGTGACACTGATAATTTAACCATAAATAGTTACTGGTTAATAGGCCTTTTCTGGCAGACTTTCAAAATCCAAGGGTAAACCATCATACAAAGGCGTTTACTCTCAGTGGTGTTAGACTTGTTACAGATGCGGTGGAAAAGTGCTTTGGAGCCAGAAGATCTAGCCTTGTTGGCTGTATTTTTTCTGCTGCTTGTGAAGTGGATAAGAAAACTCCTTGACTTAAATGAAACATTGAGCTCTTCTGTTTAGGTTTATTAGACCTATGTAATCAGATTACAGTAATTCAAATGCAGTGGCTGCTTAAAATTGTATTTGGCGAGCAGCTGACAAGTACAGTGAACATACAGGCTCTTCATTAACAATAAAACTAAAAGTTTCATAGAAGGCATATACTGGTTTATGACGGAGGTGGGCATAACCCCAATTAAACTTTTTGCCAGTGGTTAATTTGCTCTGAAGTATGCAAATTTTCTGTGAATTCGTTTATATCTTTGTAAGTCTAGTGTTCTGTTGAGCACTGCTCTGCCGAAGCTACAGATTTTACTGTTTGTAAACAGGGACTTCTCCACTGAACGTAATGCAAATTGCAAGGGCATGTTCCATGGTGAAGAACAAGTTATAAAAATATCTGTCAGAAGTAATTACAGTTGATCCTGCTGTTGGGTAGGAATGTTGACTGGATAATTTACTGGTGTCACTTTCAGCAATATTTTCTATAGCTCTGTTACCTGTAGTACCAGAATTTAACTCAAAATGTTGAGAAAAGCATAAAATTGCGTGTAAAGAAAAAAAGGGAAAGGAAAGATTATTGTTGATCTTCTGTTCTTGGCTTTTCACAGTGATTAGTGACAGAAACTTATTCTTCCATGACTGTGCAAAAAGCAAGCAAAAAGCAAAAAGCATGGATACTGGTTTTGAAGATTTAGGGGCTTTTGAATGTACAAATGCTTCCCCATTTTTCACTGGCTCCTAAGGATGTCTTAAAGACCTCAAACAGCTGTTTGTTCCTTTTAAAGTTTATACCTTAAATCAGATGTGGTATACAGTTCAACCTGTCATAGAAGAGTAAGGTATATGGAGGTAAATACACCATAGTGTGGTCTGAAGTTCATATTTTGCCCAGTTGTCTGTAAGAGTTCCTTTTAAGCAGCCTGGAGAATACGTTACAGGAGAAGTTGCAAAACTGTTGGTTGCCATTGCCCTCTGGTCCCCCGTTCATAATTACCTAGTAACATAATAAGATGTTCAGGACAGGCAAGGCAAAAAGAAAGATGAAATATATAGTTTGCAGCACCAAGAAAAGGTAGGATGATAAACAGCTATCGTAATTTCATGGGTCTTGTAGAAATTGAAGTGTCAGAGCAGACAGCAATACATCCTTCTAATGTACCCTTTCCTCACCAATATGCAGTTGATAAGATTTCATTGATTGCCTCTTATTAAATTTCTACTCTTGAGTATTTCAACAGTGATGTTTTAGGGGTTTTAATGTACCTTTCCTCAGGTTTCTTTCTTTCTCCAAATACGGAGTTTTCCCTTTCCTGTAAGCCTTCAATATTGTACAGAAAGAAGATCCAGGATGCAGACTCCTTATTCTTGTAAAACGACGTATTTAAGAAATAACGTATTGCTTGTTTATTTGCCCTTTGGACTGTTCTCTGTACCCAAAGGTCCACAGCTATGGAAATGTTCTCTACCTGGAGGTGAGCAGGATGTTGCAGTCAGTAGCTATCACAATGCACGTGATAGCTATCACAGTAGCTATCACAAAGCCTAGGGTGACCTCTAGGCTTTCTTAATCCAACAGCGTGTGAAAGTACTGACATTAGAGAGGCTGCAGGGGGTTTGAAGGAAAACAGCTAGTTTAACGAGAGAAAATGGATGGGTCAGTGTCCCTTGCTCATGTTTTCTGTGCTGTTTTGAATTGGAGCATGGTAAAATGAGCTAACTGTCCCAACTCAGACCCAGGCTTCCTTAACCCTGCGTGTCTTTAACTCCTTTGACAGCTGTCTTCCACGGGGACAGAGGTGAAACTTCGCCAGGCTGCATTTGTTGAGCAGTGTTCCCCAGATTTGCAGCTCTCCCTGGGAAGACTTCAGAACAATTGCAAGTGTGTCACCTGGACAAAATGTAAAACTCCGCTGTCAGACTATCCTATCCCTGGTAAGCCGTCTGGGGCCACCTAATTCCTGATGAAAACAAGCGTGGTAAAAAGTGAAATCCCTGCAAAAGAAGTGAACTACTAAGTAGATGTTACATGCTTGTGAAATGTTCATATTGCACTGTGATGAGTTTACTGTTAAAAATGCAGACAAAGTAATAGGAGGAGAATCAGTTCAGGAAAAGAATCACTTTTTAAAGGTGTTTTGTGGTTTGTTTTTGGCAGCTATAGTTTGTAGTCTGCTCCCTGTGAGCAAGAACTGACAGTGACCAAAACCTTCATTTATGAAAAATGCCTGTAAGTGTTATAGACAGAACTGGTTTTGATTTCACCAGTCAGTGAACCTTTGAAAAAACACTGAATGACTGTGATGTTTTGCGTGGTAGCTCTCAGCCTGGACAGTCTGTGTGCGAGGTACTGTGTACTGTGTCCAGTTTTGGGCCCCCTACCATAAAAAAGACATTGAGGTGCTGGAGCGGGTCCAGAGAAGGGCGACAAAGATGGTGAGGGGTCTGGAGAACAAGTCTTATGAGGAGAGGCTGAGGGAACTGGGGTTATTCAGCCTGGAGAAGAGGAGGCTGAGGGGAGACCTTATTGCTCTCTACAACTCCCTGAAAGGAGGGTGTAGAGAGGTGGGGGTCGGTCTCTTCTCTCAAGTCACAGGCGACAGGACGAGAGGAAATGGCCTTAAGTTACACCAGGGGAGGTCCAGGCTGGATATTAGGAAAAATTTTTTCACTGAAAGGGTTCTCAGGCATTGGAATGGGCTGCCCAGGGAGGTGGTTGAGGCCCCATCCCTGGAGGTGTTCAAAAGCCGGGTTGATGTAGTGCTGGGAGGTCTGGTTTAGTGATGATGCTCCTTGTTTGTTGTGTGGGTGTCTATTTTTGTCAGTGAGGTTGACGGTTGGACAAGATGATCTTTAAGGTCCCTTCCAACCTAGAAGATTCTGTGATTCTGTGATTCTGTGAGGTAGGCTGTATTCTGTAGACGTGACCTATTTGGCTGTGTATCTTACTGTGAAGTTTCACCTCTAAATCTAATTCCAGTATTACTTCCATTTCGTGAGCATGACTCTGCAGATGTGGATCGTATGCAAAGTGTTACACACAGGTTTGCCTCTGTGCCCTAGAGGACATTGCACATACTGATATTTCCTTTAGACCTGTATTTAAATTGTTGCAAAATCAAGACCCCAACGCACTTGTGTTATTCTTCTCTGTGTGGCACGGATCTGTAGTATTACAGTACAAAAAGAATGCAATAACAGTGTAAATGGTAATATAAAAGATGAGCTGGCAGTACCTGGTACAATGTAACAGTTCTTAGTTCATCTTTAAGTACCTGTACATTAATATGATAACACCGATTAATCACGATAATGTGCTAACACACTAACGGGGACTAAAGATAGTTCTGAATGGCATTCTGTGTTAAATTCATTTGCTAAGCAATGCAGATAACAGCCGCAGAAAATCAGAAAGCATTCATGTATCTTATGTACCCTACGGTTTTTTTTTTAACTTGGTGGATGTGTTTTTTGTTTTAACTTGTTTTGCTGGTTTTTATTTCGATAAACATAGCCATAGTTGTAGTTGTAGGTGACTGTCTTCTAAGGGGAACAGAGGGTTCAATATGCTGGGCTGATGCTCTTCTTAGGGAAGTATGCTGCCTCCCTGGGGCCTGGGTGAGGGACATCAGTAGGAAAATTCCTAATCCGGTTCAGCCCTCGGACTACGGACTATTACCCGCTGTTCCTCTTTCATGTGGGTGGCGATGAGGTGGCAACACATAGCCCCAGAGTAACCAAAAGAGACTCCAGGGCCTTGGGAAGGTTAAGAAGGGAATCCAGGGTGCAGGTCATCTTTTCCTCTCGTCTCCCTCTCAGTGACTCTGAGAGAAGCAGTCGTGCTCAGTCTGTCAATACGTGGCTCCGTGGCCGGTGTCACCGCCACAATTTTGGGTTTTTTGACAATGGGATGGTCTACACAGCACCAGGCTTGCTGCTGTTGGATGGGTTCATCTTTCTGAAAGGGGAAAGAGGGTGTTGGCTTATGAGCCAGTGGGGCTCATTGACCAAGCTTTAAACTAGACTCATTGGGAGAGGGGGATATTACCTGGATTGCTCATGACAAGGCAAGGGATGATGCTCCAAGGTCTGAGGGATGGGTTGTTAGTGAAGGCCCTCAACCTATTGCTCTGAGATCTACTGGGTACCCTGCAGCACACTTGAAGTCTTACAGAGACTTATGGAGTTTACGGTTTATGGCTAATGAAGCAATCTAGGCTGAAGCATGCAGGCTCTGTGCCTCCATAGGAGTCATTTTTTGTACATTTTTGGTAGGATGTATGTGCTTGAAATAAAACAAAAATAGTCCTCCTTTCTGATAGCATAGTCTCCATTAGCTAGATAGATGTACAGCGCTTAAATTTCGAAGGAAGTCATTATTTGCATAGTTTAGGTACAAGAAAGAACACTAAAGTTCTCACCACACACATGTCCCAGAATATTTTTAGTCATGCTGAATATGTGCAAATTCTTGATGCTTTACATCTGAGGATACATAGTACTTTTCAGCACAGGAACATGTCCCATATGCTATGTTGCATACTTGCCTGCCAACCCTGTTCCATTCAGTTTATAGTTTTTCAGTGTTTCTTGAGGGATAAAATTACATGGGCAGAATGTAACACCATTCCCTGAATCTTCTTTTTCATTCAAAGATAGTCGCTTCAGCTGTAAATTGCAAACACACGCTACCTGCAGATAAAATGTTGGTGTAAATTAGAAAGCCTAAGAGATTGTGAGAGGGAACTGAAATCAGACAGTTTTTGGATAGGACTGAAGTAGGACCAGTCTAATACATCACAACTCACAGTAACCTGCTGAAATAATTCTCTCTTGTTATTTCATAGAATATGTTTCATTTAAATTATATAGCATGGGGTACTAGCCCCTGTGAGAGCAAAGCAAAGGCAGCTGGCACAAAGGATTAATTCTGATGCTTTTTTATTCCAGAGATGTAGCCCTGTAAGTTAGAGAAACGGGCTAGAGTAATGAGAACAGGATGACATTTCCCCTGCTATTCTATTGTTGCCAATACAGGGCATTTCTGCTGTTTGAGTTTGTTTGGGAACGTGTCTGAATAATTTTATTTATATTGTATTACTGCATTTATCTACATATCTTTTTGGAAAATCAATAAAGGTATATAAACATCTCTCTTTAGTTTTAACCTGTTTTGTGTAAATTAGCAATGTTTTTATAACATTGTGTCTCAGCAGTTCTCCACTGCAGTAAACTTGTTGGACTCATTAAACATCCTAGAGGACAAAATGCCTATAAACTCAGTCAAATGAATTAATGAATACTTAAACTAGTAAAACTTGGTTTTCTCTGTATTTCTAGCTCCTGAATGATTACACTCTCAAAAGTTGTTTCAAGTTGAAGGATGAACTGGCAAGACTTATTCCAGCAGGAAAACAAGCTAAAACTTTCTGTCTGTGTGGCAATGATTGGTATCCTGCTTGGCAGTGTCTGCAGAGATGCCCATTTACCCTGAGATGCTGCAGGACAAGAGCTGTCTAAGTCTGTCCAGGTTAAAGTGTGTTAGCAGGCACCTTTAGGTAGCCTTCACTGGAACAAAGTGGTTCAATGTGGCATCTTTCAAGTGTGCTCTATTGTAGTGCAGGAAGGGTGAAAACTGCCCTTGTACAACTCACATAAGGGTGTATTAGGTAAGAACAAATGGCAGCTCAAGAAAAAGTTTGGAATAAGAAAACAGCAGTGATGGTTACCCAGATTTCAAGCTCTTACGGTAAGCATTGTAGCCAGTTCTTATTTGTTTTGTAAATATCATGAAATACTATTATGTTGAAGATCGTGTGATAATGCAATGGTGCTCTAATATAAGGGGAATTTTTCTTCAGTGTGTGTGTACCATTTTAAAAAGCTGTGGTGTAGAGTAGAGTTGCCACTCTACTTTTAAAAATGATCAGAATTATTAGTGGTAGTTAGCTCAGGCCAGTAAAAGCAAAAGGCCCTTTTACAGTTACCTCCAGCTAAAACCAAAACAAAACCCCCAGGCAACAACCAACCAAACAAAAAACACCAAAGAAAAGAAAACAAACAAGCAAAACAAAACAACTTGTGAAAGTAACAACTGGTTCGGTAAACAGTGGATTCTGGAAAATTGTTATTCAAGCTGGTGGACTATCAAGGTTAAAAAAAAAAATTAAAAAAATCCATTATTGTGGGTAGTGTGGTGCATCCAAAGAAAGAAGAAGTCAGGCAAAAAAGCCAGGAGCCTGCATGCATGCAAGGAGCTCCTGGACAAGCCCAAAAGCAAAAAAGAGGCCTACAGAGGGTGGAAGCAAGGACAGGTATACCAGGCGGAATACGGAGAAACTGTTCGAGTGACCAGGAACCAGATCAGGCAAGCTAAAGCCCAGAGATAATTAAATCTGGCCAGGGACGTCAAGGATAACAAGGAAAAATTCTGTAGGTATGTCAGAGATAAAGGCAAGACTAGGGAAGATGTGGGCCCTCTCTGGATGGAAACAGGAGACCTGGTCACCCAGGATATGGAGAAGGCTGAGGTACTGAATGACTTTTTCACCTTGGTCTTCATGAGCAAGGGCTCTAACCACACTGCCCAAATTGCCGAAGTCAAAACCAGGAGCTATGAGAATGAAGAACCACCCACTCTAGGAGATGAGGTTAAAGACCATCTGAGGAACCTGAAGGTGCATAAGTCCATGGAACTTGATGAAATCCATCCACGGGCCCTGAGGGATCTGGTGAATGAAGTTGCAAAGCCACCCGTACTGAATGACTTTTTCACCTTGGTCTTCATGAGCAAGGGCTCTAACCACACTGCCCAAATTGCCGAAGTCAAAACCAGGAGCTATGAGAATGAAGAACCACCCACTCTAGGAGATGAGGTTAAAGACCATCTGAGGAACCTGAAGGTGCATAAGTCCATGGAACTTGATGAAATCCAT